TGTAACTTAATGTAAATCTTATAATACATTATAATATCTATAATTATAATGCATTGCTTTGAAAGTGTTGAATTCATAACTTTACTCATAATCACTACCTCATATACACATATTGAAGGACTCTGTACGGATTACTCCATTGGGATTCCAGACAGTAACACGAACAACAAATAAATATTAAATTCCCTCAGGCGAGACATCCAGATCCGTCACAATTGCATATATATATATGCCATCGAAAACTACGGATATTTATTTATTTATTTCATCATAATGGATGATTACGCCTGTGAGGTAAATAGTACAGATAATAACATAGAAAAAAAACAAATACAATATAAAATAGTACATAGTGATATTAATTTAATAATTAAATGATTATAAAAATTCAATAATACTAAATACGTTACAAACAAGTTAGCTAAAAAAGTGTATATAATTATGGTATTATGAATTAAATGTTTTACAACAAATAGACCATAATGATAAAAATCAAAATTATTTATTTTATTACATAAATTCAACATTCGATTTACCGGAGCGTTTCTACTATAGTTTTGTGTATGAATGGATATATAAAACATTGGATAGGAACGGAGAGATACTTGAGGAACGTTCATCGGTATTAAGTTTAAAATTTCGGGACAATTGATTTTATTATTTAGTAGATTATAAATCCATATAACATCTAAACAAATTCTTCTACACAAAAGAGAATACATTTTTAGATTTTCAAGTAACTTTTTATGATTAATTTCATTATTTTTAATTTTAGAAGGGATTACGTTTAAAAAACGATGTTGAATGGATTCAATCTTATTTATATCACTCTACACTCTTGAGAAACCTGAATTTAAATCAATTTGACTATTCTTGAATGGAAGGAACTCGAAAAACCCCTTGCAATAAAGGAGTGTACAAAACAAAAAAAACATTTAATTCATCTGGCTAACAATTTCAACGGGCACACGGTGTGTTTATCGTGATATTCTAAATTACCCTGTGACAATGATTTTTATGAAATTTTTCCTTAATTTTTTTTGAGTTAAAAAAAAATGTTCAATTAATGATGTGTTTTTGTTTATTTATTTATTTTATTTTTGTGTCTGTTACCACTTTTTCTCAGCTCTCATCGAACCGATTTCTTTCAACAATACGTCAAAAGATCAAAAATCGTACCTAGTCGAAGACATTGCCCTTAAAAATTAAAAAATTTTCTCTCGTTCCCCGTAAATGGGGAAAATCTTCAAAAACATTACAAATCTAAAAATCGGTAATTTTCGAAATTTTTAAAAATTTTTTTACTTAAAACTGCCATAATTTTTTCAAAATTTAACAAATCAATATAATTTTTTTTCAATAGATGCCTAATGTTATTACTTATCATTCAAAATATTTTTTTATCAATATGACCCTTTACCTGCCCACAGGGAGCGATTAAAAATGACAACTATTTCACAAAAATTAACTTTTTCAACTTAACTTTTTAAAGTGTTCCTTAAATACTGACACTTTTATGTATACCTTAAATTAAAGCTTATGTAATATACTTTATTATGGGAAAAAAAAAAATTTCGGATTTAATTTTATCCTCACAGTGAAAATGGCTACCGAATGCTATTTTTGTGTTAAAATTCTCGATCCTATATTTTACATTTTTAACTTTAAAATGCTACAACTTTTTTAAGAGAAATAATATTTATATATTTCTTTCAATCGACATATTTTTTTTTTAAATCAGACCAGTTACATTTTTGCACGGCGGGTTCAAAACTTAAAGTAAAACTTTTTCAACTTAACTTTTGTAATTGTTTTGGAAATACTGACACTTTTATATCACTTTTATCTAAAATTAAAGGTATGTAATATACTTTATTATGAAAAAAAAAAAAATGTTCATGGTAAAAACAAACATTAAAGTCAATAAAAAAAAATTCGATTATTTAAAAAAAATTCTTTTTTATATTCTTAACTTTATAATGCTATAACTTTTTGAATAATGTATGGATCATTATATTTATTTTGAGATAGGTACTATTCATATTTATATATTAATAATATATATAAATTTATTTATTCATATATTACACTTATTAATCATACAACTTTTAATCAAAATATAAATAATAAAATAGGAGGTCCTATAGCTTTTGGAATAATCCATTAATTTTTATAAATTAAACACTATCTACAGATTTGCATCGAATCGTTTTTTATGATAGTGATTTTAATCACTGTCAGATATCTTCTATGCTGGACTCAATTATGCCACGAAATACTGTGCCTCAACCCCACTGTGCTGGGTTTATTTTAAATAATGTACCTATTAAAAATAATAATAAATTATAAAAAATAATTAATAACTATGCGTGGGTATAAAAATTTTTATAATTTACTATTATATAATAGTAAATATACTATATTTATAATTTTTTATTATTTTACATAAAAATATTTTAATACAAAAGATTATAAAGTTTTAATTAATTTAAAGTCATAAAAGTCAATAGATATTTATTCATATTTCTGGAAAAAAAAATATAGGGAGTTCAAATATTTTTGTGTAAATGATAAATTATTATTCGTTATTGCATTTCCAGTTAATTGTAAAATAATTATTATACTTATAATTTAGACCCCTTGCAATAAAGGAGTGTACAAAACAAAAAAAAAAACATTTAATTCATCTGTCATAACAAATACGATGTTCAACACAATTTCTTATTATTTGTATATATATTTCAATTTATCAATTGTTAAATATAATATCTCAATATAATAATTATGTAATGTATAATTAAATACAATAAACTAAAAAGATCACTAAAAGCGCTGACAACAATATCCCTGGATAGGGGGTACTATCATTTTACTATAAAAAGCACTGAAATCCTTTCAGACTCTGAGGAGAGAAGAAGGAGTGACAACGAGCAAGAGAGTTCGTTTTCTCCGGATTGAAATAAGAATAAAAAGAAATAATTATCAGTCACAGCCCTGTGTTGTTGTCGGCTGACTTTTACGCGATTTATTTATACATGAAAATAACTTGTTTTAATTATTTATCTTTTGACGAAGAGCGAATTAAATACTTTTAAACATATATAAACATATCGAGATAACATATTTATCAAATCATTTTACAGCAGTTTGCAAGAATAAAAGAAGTAAGTAATTTTATATATATATGCCATCGAAAACTACGGATATATGTGATTTATTATTATTTTTCTAGTGAAGTTATTAATTTAAGAATTTAATGTTCATTATTGAAAAAAAACATTTAACTCATCTGGCTGATAATTTCAACGGGCACGCGGTGTGTTTATCGTGATACTGTATACTGTATTAATTTATATTTACTTTTGTGTGAATTTGCTTGGATACCAAATAAACGCACTTTAAGTAAATAATTTTGAACGAATTACGGCGATTTTTGTGTTATGGAAAGCAATTGAAATTTTTAAAATCTTCGCAAAAGCTTACGAGTTCTCTGTGTACAGACATTGCCGTCGTGTATTGAATCCTTTTCGGCAGACGAAAATCACGATATGTATAGAAACACCGTATTGGCCACCGATCGGTCAAAAACGACCAACGCTAGAGTGCCCTACAACGTCAAAATACTAACCGTGAATCCAAACGGATCTTCCGCGGACAAGATTGCTACCAAACCGAAATATATCGCCAACACTGACACGATTACGATATCAAAGCCATCGGCTATCGGACTGATAAAAAACAAACGAAACGGTATTACCGATTGTGACTTTACGTTTACAAAAATGAAACGGCTTTCGTGGGTCACCCCATATTCTTGCATGTCCAATAAACGAAAGCTCACTACGAATACCGAATACTATGCGACAAAAAAAATGAAGCAGACGACTGACGACGACATCGATAAACCCAACGGATTGGTCTTGAAAGTCTGGAAGCTCAACGAGACATCAACGTTTTCCCTCGATACGAAAACATCGCCTCGAGTATACAGTTCGAATAACGCGAGCACAACAACTGAATCAATCGACATAGACTCGGCCGAGAGCGATAACGATGGTCCTTCCTTATACGGTAAAAAAGACAAGTCCATTAACTAGACTTAAATAAACGCCCGTTGCGCTGCGTTACAGTGTCGGTGTGATCGGGCTCTACGGGGCTACGAAACGTCGTCACGAACGCAGTTTCCCTAGCTCGGGGAATCGGGCGCGTCCTCAGGTTGCGGATAGAGGAACGGCCTGCAGATATGCAGGTTAGCCGCGAAATAAGCAGTCCATTAATTTGGACTGACGAATAAGCGGTCGCTGACAGCGAGCCGCCCAAACGCTTGTTAATCCTGTAGATATACAGGATAGCCGTGAAATAAGCCTTTATAAGGACGAATAAGCGGTAGCGTTTGGGTGCGAACGGAGTTAAACGGCAACGCAACCAGTGAAGTTAGCCGCTCACTGGCCGGAGGGACTGGCTATGAGGGCAGCCCCCTCAAATCATATCACATTTATGAAAATGGAATCGAAAGGAGTAAATGTTACTGCATCAGGGGATTCGGATGCCCCAGTGCCGGCGGTTGGTGGGGGGCGTACCCACCAGGTGTCGTCATCAATCGAATACGCACCAAATGCAGGAGTGTTGAGGCAGGCTCCTGCAGCCAACCACGGGGTTGGTACTGCAACTGCAGGGAGTGGTGGTGACCAAGCCACTCCCACCGGTGAAATAGCCGGGAGGTCATTGGCAACGGTATGTTTGGATTCTGGTACGATATTGACGACGGCCAACTCCCTAGATGCGTCTCCTAAAATCTCTATATTGGAGAGATTGCGGTGCGCATCTAAGGGTGGTTCGACAAGGGTGGGACAAGGGTGGGTCACCCCATATTCTTGCATGTCCAATAAACGAAAGCTCACTACGAATACCGAATACTATGCGACAAAAAAAATGAAGCAGACGACTGACGACGACATCGATAAACCCAACGGATTGGTCTTGAAAGTCTGGAAGCTCAACGAGACACCAACGTTTTCCCTCGATACGAAAACATCGCCTCGAGTATACAGTTCGAATAACGCGAGCACAACAACTGAATCAATCGACATAGACTCGGCCGAGAGCGATAACGATGGTCCTTCCTTATACGGTAAAAAAGACAAGTCCATTAACTAGACTTAAATAAACGGCATTAGATATATAATAGTATTTAAAACTAGATAAATTATTTAAACGAGAGTTAAGCGATCGGATTAAAAAATAAAAAATTTTGCTTTCAGACGTGCCGCCGCGAGATTTGAACGAGAAAAAGAAGAACCCGCCCTCGTACGATTCATTTCTCACTGCGACGACGTGGTACAGCGGCGACACAATCAACGCGTATTTAAGTCTGATTGCATCGCGTTCGCAAGGCAAAGTGCACTACCTGAACACCGATTTTATGGAGGCGCTTTCCCGACGCGGATACGCTGGCGTGAAAAGATGGATCAAAATCGATATACACTCTTTAAAACTCCTGTTGGTGCCCATGCACGTGAACGGCAACCATTGGACCATGACTGTAGTCGATGTACCCGAAAAGACAATAACGTTTTTCGACAGTCTCAACTCCTACAATGGCCCTTACCCGTCGTTATTTAGACAATTTCTAATCGAATGGGAGATCGAAAACTACGGATATTCTTCCCAATGGACTTTACGGTACGGAAAAGCTGTGCAACAACGCAACGGTTATGATTGCGGACCGTTATCTTTGGAGTTGGCCGAGAAGATGTCCAGAGACGACGGCACGCCGATCAACCCGCTCGCAATGCCTTATGTCCGGTTGAGGCATAAGTACGAACTAGAAGCCGGCACATTATTCCAATTTTGACGTAAATATAATATATTTGCCCATCATCAAGATTCACGTTTACCAATCACGACTTTATACGACACACCGATTTCGACTAATACCGACCTACTCATCAATACCAATTGAAATATGTAATATTCGCCTTATAACTCTATTTTTTCTGCCCCAGACGCTGTACTTACAATTTAAACGGCCGTGTTTAATCGAAGTACACGCCGGGGATGGCTTTTTCTTCATTGGAAACACGTTTTCTACAATATTCTACAATGCGCAACATTGAGTTTCCAATGTCGAGTGACACATCAGTTCGATGTTATTTGATTCCGTTAGAAATATTGTACATTTTGTATTTTTTTTTTTATTAAATTCGTGTACAATAACTTTATGATAGTACCTCTTTTGTACATGCAAATTTATTAATAATTGTTATTTTTTTTCATCTATATGTCAATATTATTTTGTTATATAGTATTTTTAGTAGTATTATAGTATTATAGTATTTTTTCGTTGTATATTTGTTTATTTTCTTGTGTGAAATATTTTTCTTTCTAATTGGAAATTGTATATTTATTATGATATATGTAATTTGTTATTATCAATATATGTGTACATTTTTTTTTTTTAATAAAACATATCCGTGAAAAGCGTGTGGTCATTTAATAACTAGCGTTATTNCTTATCCGTGAAAAGCGTGTGGTCATTTAATAACTAGCGATATTTTTAGATATAATTTTTTGTATAGCCCATACAACAGTACGCTAAGGCATCAAATTATTAACCGTGAATCCAAACGGATCTTAAGCGGACGAAATGGCTAAAAAAACACAAGAGTTTTTTCTATAATTATTTTTTTTTAATAAAACTTATTCGTGAAAAGTGTGTGGTCATTTAATAACTAGCGATATTTTTAGATATAATTTTTTGGATAACCCATACAACAGTACGCTAAGGCATCAAATTATTAACCGTGAATCCAAACGGATCTTAAGCGGAAGAAATGGCAAAAAAAACACAAAAGTTTTTTCTATAATTATACGATTCACCGAATTTCGATCACTGTAAGAGAATTACGATATGTTTACAAATACCGTACCACCCACCTACCGTTCTGAAATATGGGCTAATCATTACTTTTTGCAAACAAAATTATCGTATTAAATAATTTTATATTATAAAAAGTGATTTAATTAAGGAATACATTTGACCCTTTTTTTTCAATTTTTTAAAATAAAGAATGGTGGTGTTGCCATGTATAGTTTTAATTAGATATTTCTCGACCAAAATTAAACAGTTTTGATTAGTTAGATGTTACAAAAATTTTTTATAACCTTTTTGCATTACATTATTGTTTACTGCATTTTTAATTCCGTGGAATTTTTTTAATTTATAATAATTAAAAGAATATACATAAAAATAACCCACCACAGTGGAGGTCGCGGTACAGTGGTGACGTGGCATAGTTGGATCAAGTATAATGATATCTGACAGTCATTAAAATCACTATAAAAAAAAACGCTTCTTTAGATAGTGTTTAATTTTAAAAAATTGGTGGATTATTCCAAAAGCTTCATAAACTGCTAGTTCCTTATTAATATCCTGATTAAGACAAAGTATGTCGAATAAAAAAGAGATTATTAGAAAATAGTATTTCCCATAAAAAAATTATATTGATCAATACACTTTTCAATAAGTTATAGCATTATAATGTTAAAAATGTAAAAAATAAAATTGAGAATTTTCACACAATAATAGCATTTGGTAGCCATTTTCACCTTGAAGATAAAATAAAGTCCGAAATTTTTTTTTTCCATGATAAAGTATATTACATTAGCTTTAATTTAAGATATATATAAAAGTGTCAGACTTTCCGGAACACTTTCAAAATTTAAGTTGAAAAAGTCAATTTTTTGTGAAAAAGTTGTCATTTTGAATCCCCCCCTGTAGGCAGGTAAAAAGTCAGATTTATAAAAAAAATATACCAAATGATAGGTAAAGACATCATGCATCTACAAAAAAAAGAATTATATTGATCCATACATCTTTCGAGAAGTTATAGCATTATAAAGTTAAAAATATAAAAAAGAATTTTTTTACAAAAATCGTATTTTTTTTATTAAGTTTAATGTCTGTTTTCACCATGAAGATAAAATAAAGTCCGAAATTTTTTTTTTCCATTATAAAGTATATTACATTAGCTTTAATTTAAGATATATATAAAAGTGTCAGACTTTCCGGAACACTTTCAAAAGTTAAGTTGAAAAAGTTCTACTTTCTACATGCATTTTTTAGATTTGAACCCCCCTCGTATATAGGGAAATGGTCGGATTTAAAAAAACAGTATGTCAAATGAAAGATGTATATAAATACTACTCCTCATGAAAAAATTGTAATGATCCATACATTTTTCAAAAAGTTATAGCATAATAAAGTTAAAAATGTAAAATACAAAATCGAAAATTTTCACACAAAAATAGCATTTGGTAGCCATTTTTACCGTGAAGATAATATAAAGTCCGAAATTTTTTTTTTTCCATGATAAAGTATATTACATAAATATACTAAATAAAGTAAACAACAAATGACACTTAAACAGCTTGATATTTTAGGAGTGTGTGAAACTAGATGGGGTGACAACGGAGATTTCTGGAG